TCAAAAAATGAATTTAAATGACAATCTCAAATATCATATAAATATAGACTATCAGAGTATAAAGGGAATTCTGCAGTTGTTTACTCCAACTACAATATGAGACTACTGCATAGGAGGACTATTGGATAATTTTTTTCAGCATTTTTCTGTCTAGGAATGATATGAGCTCTTTGATCACTTTTATATATGTAAGCAGTTTATACTATTAGATCTTCCTCATGTTAAATTAGAGTCAATTTTCCGATATCTTCAACTTTTTCTCAAGTATTACTCCTAAAGTATTTTTTATTATTCTTCTTTATCACAACTCACTGAATTCATTTAATTTGTCCAAATTCAGTTCTCACTGCACTGCCCAGTTGTTTGTGTTTTAATTCCTTCCTTTATCTAATACACCTTCATGCTCTATATTCATCCTAGGTATCTTCCTTTCAATGAGCCCAGTTTATCAACAAATATTTCTTTAGAAAGTAAGAGAGAAATTATAGTATAAAAAACTGACCAATTCTAGGCTGACCTCTCTATAGGCTCATTATGGCTTAACATCTTTCGAAAGGCCAATTCCAGAGTTCACTTCAGGTTCTCATAAAACTCTGGTTCATTTAAACAGCCTGAGAATTACTTATTTCTTGTATCCCGACTCCTAATTAGTCACATGTTTAGAGAGGTTTCTAAATCACATATTTAGAGGGTGTCTTATGGTAATTATTCTATAGTTCCCATAAATGGGTCCAGAAACTACAGATCCCAGTAGCTCTACACCAGAATTGACTCTCCTCAGTGAACAGCATCTAGAATCTGGACTGACTCCTTGTTTAATTCATGCATTCATTTAAAAACTGGCTACTACCCTATTATTTCATCTTATTTTATCCAACTCTGAGTAAATGGCTGACACATAATAATTATTAATATGTATTTTAAAAAATTTTTGTTATCCTTTTAAAATTACTGGAATAGTACCACAATAGCCAAATCCAATCTGGGGTACAATTATCAGCAAAAAACCCTTATGTACCAGTGGAGATCCAATAATTAGGACAGAGAATGAATAGGTTGAATTGGTGACTCTGGGTGCTAGTTGCCACTCACATTAGATCAATTTCAATGAAGGGATGCAGAGTAAGAAAATGGAATCAGAAAGTGTGGGCACTAATTTGGAGAAGTTTCAGCATGAAAGAGAAGAAAGAAATAAGGCTGAGAAACTAAAATGGTGAGGTTTTTAATTTTTATATTTGGTTCCTGAGTCATTCTTTTTCCTTGAAGCCTTTGGTTCCTAGTTCATTGACATTCTGCCCAGCCTACTTATGGCGCCTGTTATACATCCTGATTGTTTTAATTTTCTCATTGAATGTAATGGCCAAATATTTTGAATACTCATATTCATGGATCCCACTTCTTCGATAATTTAGCCATTCACTCCCACAGTCATATCTTAAATATTGCCATTACTTATAACTATCATCTCCATTGTATAAGTTACAAACCTGCAGAATCCTGAACAACAGAAAGTAGTGACTGTTTTATAGGTACATGTATTTGAAGTGTTTTTATGCAGCACTGGATAACTTATACGGAGGCACATTCATCCACAAAAAAACATGCCAGTGGAGCTTCACATTACCAATAAAAACCTGCCTGCTTGAAACAACCACCTCTCTTGCTATGGAAGGAGATAAGGAATAAAGGTGCAGCAAACTTGTAATAAAAAATATTTAGTATGTGTACCCAGAAATGATAATAAAGATAATGGGCTATTCAGAGTTTTTTCATGCAACTTTAAGCTAAAGATGAGAAATATCAAAATAATGCCAGTTCTGGTCCTGCAGCTAGAACCACAGGCCAAATTCATATAATAAAACTAGTCCGTGAGAAACTGACTGCCATTCAGCACTAGATGGCACAATCTGCACAGACAGCACCACCGTGCCATAAGCACTGGATAATGCTGCTGCAGCTACTAAGCCTGGAAGCTGGTTTTGCTATATATGCTGGTTCTTCAAGAAAGAAAGGGGAGAAAATTTTTTTTTGGTTTGCTGTCAAACACTACTTTCAGCTAGACAATCAAGTTGTTTAACTGCTGACTAGTTATGCTGATAGTTTGTAATTTTAATATGCTATAATGAAAATAGCATTCTATCCTTCTGATCTTCATTCCCAAAACCTGTAATCTCAGGTTAATTGTGAAAAAATATCAAGCAAATTCTGATACAGAGCCTGAAAAGTACCTGATCAGAACTCCACAAAACAGTCAACATTATCAGAAACAAGGAAAGCAAGAAACCATCACAGACAAGGGAAACCTAAAAGGATATAATGGTCACATAAAATGTGGTATCTTTTTTTTTTTTTTTTTTTTTTTTTTTTTTGTCTTTTTCCTTTTTATCGGTACCGGGGATCAAACTCATGACTGCCTGCTTGCAAGGCAGGCACTTATGCTGCTGAGCTAAACCTCCAGCCCCAAAAATGTTGTATCTTGAATAAGAAACTGAAGAAGAAAAAAAAAATACAAATGATAAAAAATAAAACAAGCAAACATATAAACTAAAGAAATATGAATAAAGTTTATGGATTTTAGGTAATAAGACTAGCAAAGTTATTACTTGTTACAAATACAGCTTAATAATGTAAGATGATAATATCAGATTTCTGATTGTGGGTATATGAGAATCTGTACTATTTTCTTAATTTTTTGTGCTTATACAAATTCCCTAAAAAGCCTATTTTAATAAAGAAAAATGTTGTTGTTTTCTCATGTAATAGATTTAATTTAAAGTCTATTTGAAATGTCTCGGGGCCAGGGATTTAGCTCAGTGGCAAAAGTGCCTGCCTGGCAAGCGTGAGGTAGTGAGTTCAATCCTCAGTACGGCAAAAAAAAAAAAAAAAAAAAAAAAAAGAAAGAAAGAAAGAAAGAAAATGTCTCTAATTTTCTGAATCCAAGTAATATGTTGTTATGTCACTGGAACAGAGACAAATAACTGAATTCTTGGTATTGTTAGCCTATTTGCAAAGTAAAAGTTTCCCACCATCTCCAAGACTTACATAGACTATAAAGAAAAGATGATCAGAAGTAAAAAATTGACAAATTTCCATGACACATGACACATGACACCAAATCATGCTCACTAATATCATTACTATCTACAAGTTCCAGATTGACCCAATATAACTCATGATCCATACAATGCAGTGCTCTGAGGATAGGTCACAAAACATGAAATGAAAAAAAAAATAATAGCTTAACATGGAGAATACTTCTGTTGAATGATAAGGCTCTCCTCTTCCGGTCATACTTACTAGTACATTACCAATACCTCCAATGCCTAGCATAGTATCTGCCACATACTAGGTGTTCAATAAAAATTTGCTGAATGAAAAAATTAGTCATCAAGAAAAACTGTTGGCTTACATCAGGGCAGATCTTCTCTGTATCTAAGTAAAGACCAGTTCTAATCCAGAATTTCATGTTAACGACAGGGAATAGAGTTTTCACAAAACAAGCTTATATATCTTAAACAGTCCCATATGGCTTGAGGGTCCTTCACTTTATTATAATGGTTCTATATTGTATTATATAGAGAGATATTATTATATATTGTATAATATATATTATATATTATAAAGTTGTACCATTAAAAAATAACTAGACTGTCAATGAGGCCTTAAGGACCTGAAAATAACCCTTATTTAACTAGCAGCGTCAAACCTTCAGTGAATTTTTAGGATATCTACTCAGAAACTTTATAATTACAAGAGACATGATAGGAAGTCTAATCAGCCCTGTTCTTTGTGCCTTTTTCTTTCCCTTATCTCTTAATTTGCTGTATAGGATGCTTGAGCCTTTTTAAGTTAAAAGTTCTGGTCTAACTAGTTAAATATGACTTTTATAAAGATCAAATCCCTGTAAGCTAATTGTATCACCCATCATACCTTGATTCCAGAAAATATTCTACAAATCTGGAAATCTTCATAAAGGTTATATAAATTTGAAGCACAGTGCAACTAGCAATAGAACAAGTATTAAGAAATCTGAACTTGAACTCTGTTTTCTCATCTCTTCATATCAACAAATGATATAAAGGATGTCTACCTTTAGTGTTATGATGATGATTAAATGCAATGACATATAATTTATGACAGTAAAGAATCCAAAGTAGGTTGGAAAAATGCCCTACTTCTCATCTTTTTTTACCTTCACCAACCCCTGGCCTAGATTTGAAGCTTCCCGTGGGGAGCTCTCCTGACTAATCACTTTGCACTGTCTTTGTTTTACTCTTACAGCACTATGTACATATCTTGTCTATACAAGTGCTAATTATATTATCACATAACCAGTACTTTTGGTCATTCCCCTCCTTCTGAGACACACACTTTCTTTCTCTGGTGATCCTCACATCTTCTAGAACTCCTCCTGCATTTTAGACTCATCCTCCTCTTTTAACTTTGCTGATACATTTAATTTTTGGTTTTAAGTTGAAAATTACCTGTCTTAAACCATGTTATGGATACTCCTCAAGCCAAATCCAAGCCTTTTCCCCCAGGCTCTATCAATCTCGTTTCACTCTTAGAATTGCCGTCTATCCAGATTTGACACAAATATTGTGTGTTTTGTTCAAGACAACTCTAGGTTATTAAACCCAAATGCCTAACAGATAATGTTTCATGGTACCTCACATCCTGGAAGCCAAAACCGAACTTAGGTCTTTAAAATATTTTACCTCGTTGAAAAGCTGAACCAATCAGTAAATTGATAAATCAGGAAAGACTATGCTATATACAAGACGATATCTCTTTGAAATTGTGTCAGTTTTGTAGGGTTCCAGGTTAAGGGGAGTGGAGGAAGGAGAAAGTAAGGAAAATTTGGGTCAGTTTTTCCAGGAGAAAGAAACTGCTGAAAGTCTGTGGCCTTCTTTCAATTCACCAGAGCAAAGACACAAATCCTTTAGCAGATCAAAGTTTCTCTACCAGGTTTCTCCAAGTAAAGGTGAGGCCTGGGGAGGGGCGGGGTCTGGGAATGGGGCCGTCCAATTAGGCCCAAATCCAGAGCTGGCCGCAAGGGATTCTGGAGGCTTCGTCCTCACCGGATGCGCATGCGCAAAAGTGCGCCATAGCAGTATGTGGATTGTGGATTGTTTAAAGTCCCTGTGAGGCCCAGGGTTCTTTGGTCGGTTGTGACTGTCAGCTACCAGCTTCTTCCAGCAGCCAGGACAGCGACTGCTGCAGTTCTTTTCGACTCTGGCACCAGGCCCTGGATAACAGCTGTGCTCACAAGTATCACCTGGGTCACGGGCAGTTGGGGAAGTGAGTGCGCAGAACTGGAATCACGCTTGAGGGGGGCCACGCTGAATGCACAGATTCAGCTTGCTGGCAGTTGGCAGCTTCCAGCTCTGCTCTCCGCGGGCTCTGCCCTGGAATCCAGGTAGGTGAGCTGACGGGAAGTACAGGGAGGGCCGCATGGGCTGGGGAAAGAACAGAGCTCGAGATTAAGGGGGTTAGGATCCGAAACTGGATCTGGATCCAGTTCTGCTGAGCCGGGAATTTGGCTTCACTGCTGCCCCTTCTTCTGTTCTGTAACGGGCCCATCCTCCAGATGCGTAGACCATCCTAGATGAGATGATCTGGAATGGCTGGTGTGGAGCTTTATGGGAAATACCAGCTGTGACTGGACAGATCAACTGGGAAAGACACAGGAGTTTTCCTTTAATTTCCTCTTGCTTTGCTTTCACAATCATTCTTAACCACCTCTGTAAAACATTAAAGCCTCCAGGTAAAACCCCTTATGTATTTCAAACACTAATTTGCAAACTTTTATTTACCTGAGTTAATCTCACAAGGCTCTTCCTGTTTTAAGCTTCTACCCTACCCATGACCTAAACTATTAAAGTCAACCCCCTTTACAGACACTCTCCTTTTGCCATACTTAGCAGCTCTTCAAGTTCTTTAAGGCCATAAGATCCATCAAACTAACGGCACCTGGTTATATTAAGCTAACTTTTTTATTAAACTGCGCAGCCCTGGTCTCTCCCAGAGGTACTGACTCATTGTCTTAACGTTATTCTAAGTCTCACCTTCAGAGACTCAGAGAATGACGTTTAAAGTTAGCGGTTTGGGACTGTCCTTATTCCAGTGTCCATTGCTTATTGGCCACTAAAGCTATTCAGTCATGCCTATATACCGTAAACCCTCTATCCTCAAAACTGTTATTCTAAACTGTTTCTCCTCAGAAATCTTACGTGCATTCATATCATCCTGATCATCTCTACTTATTTTTCTAGCTTTACAATTATGTACACTGAAAAATTCATTAGTTTATGATTTTAACCTGAAAATTTCCTCCAGAAGATTTCATTGCTTCTTCTCACTTCCTGAGCTGAGCTCCAGAAGATTTCGTTGCTTCTTCTTACTTCCTGAGCTGAAAGGTTAATCATCTGTTTTTTGTTTAATTATATATAAGGAAGGTTTTGTCATCCACTAACAACAGAACTCGAGCTATGCTGTAGATTTTGATGTAGAATATTTAGGATTTAGAAAGTTGCCTAATCTGTCATTTCTGTCATTGTTTTCTTGGTTTTTAAGACTTGCTATAATTTTCTTTCAAGTATGTAATTTGATTAATGACAGTTATATTTCGTGAGTTGTACTGCTTCTTTCATCTAACTTACTATTAATTCATTATATATTTACTATATCCCCGAATATATTAAGTATATGTAATATATTTAATGACGTATTTGCTTGATATGATTTAGATCATCCTCTTTAAGCTTTTTATTCATTTTGGGATGTCTCTCAAGTTTTATGTAGTTGAGTTTAAATTTTTATCTAGTATATTTATTGCCACCATAGCTATCTTGATTTTTTTATCAATCATTTCTTTCTTAGATGCTTCCTTTTATTTCTACTTTTTTCTTTTGATTTTGCTTTTGACATATGCCCTGTGAGTTTTTCTGGGTTTTTTTAGGTTGAAGAGTTCCTTTTTCCCCCAGCCTCGCCAATATTTGTTATCCATTGATTTGTTGATAGCAGCCATTCTTTCTGTAGTGAGATGGAATCTCAGTGTTGTTTTAGTTTGCATTTCTTGAGTGAGCAGGAAAGATAGACAACTGTACTGCTAATCTCCACTAGATCATCAAAAAGAACAGTTTGTGCTGTCATTGCTTGCTTGTTTGATCATTTTGTATGTCTAAATCTTATAACCTGAACAATTACTTCTCAGATAACAATATGCAGCACATTAGCTAGTGTTAATTTCCTACTATTTTTAAAAATTCTGTATCACTTCTATCCTTTTTTCTGTTTTGCTTTTTACGATAAAAATATTTTTTAAAAAGTATGTAGGCATAGTTCAGGTTTTTGCTGGGACTTGTTACTCTTCTTGAGAGTTTTCTACCAGCAGGTTTTAAGGGGTCATTTTGTTCATTGATTTTTTTTTTTTATGGTTCTTTTTCTATAGCATTGTGCTTGTTTTTTACTAGTTGTACTTGTGTTTAAGGAAAAACAAAAATGAAATCTAAAGCCAGGTGTGGTGGCGCATGCCTATAATCCCAGCACTAGGGAGGCTGACCCAGGAGATCCTAGCACTTTGGAGACCACCCTGTGCTACAAAGTGAGCTCAGGGTCAGCCTGAACTGCACGGTGATACCCTGTCTCAAAAAAACAAACAAACAAACAAAAAAAAAACTCTATATAGTATTTATTTTTCTTAGGAAATTTTATGATCATTATACAATTTTATCTTTTAACTGTGCTAATAGATGTTTATTTTTCTATGTGTCAAATTTGTTTTATTTTGTTTTCAGTTTCTCAGGATGCTAAATTTTGGATTTATGTCTGAAGCTTCTGGAACTCTTCTCTTTAGTATCATATAAACTGATGCAGACCATAATGTGTAAAGTACATGAGTGCTTAGTCCAAATTTGAGAAGTATTGCAATCCCTTAGCAGGACAAATCTGAACTACAGTGGGCATTTGGTTTAGGAAGATGGAGCCTCTGAACAAGTTCATCACTGTCTCAGAACCTCAAAACCTGGCTCTGTGTGAACAGAGTGAGGTCTTAAGAGCAGATATGTCTTGGCAGCAGGAGAGCCTCCCTGTTATAGACTTACATGACTCTGAAGTGTCTCGCCGGAAGTTCAGACATTTCCAGTATTTCGAAGCCTCTGGGCCCCATGAAGCCCTGAACCAACTCTGGAAGCTCTGTCATCAATGGCTGAGACCAGAAATTCACACAAAGGAACAGATCTTGGAACTGGTAGTGCTGGAACAGTTCCTGGCAATCCTCCCTGAAGAACTCAGGACTTGGGTAAATTTACACCATCTCAAGAATAGCAAAGATGTGGTGACCTTCATAGAGGATGTCACTGAAATGCTCAAAAACAAGGGTAAGACTGTAGAAAAGTTTGAAAAAAAAATTATCTTTTTCTGAAGCTAGACAGTATCAAGATCCAGGTCATGAAGGTCTTTCAGTTACTGCAGCAGAAAGCCTGAACTTTATTCTGTAGGTCATGAAAATATAGAACTAGATCTCTCACACTAAGTAGAAAAGTAGCACAGTTTGATTTGTCTGTTAAAAATATATCATTTCACATCAGTCTAGAGCAGGATTTGGCCCATGAGCCAAATAATTTTGGAAATAAATTTTGTTAGACCATAGCCATGTCCATTACTGGTTTTTGGTCAATAGATGTATTCATTCTATGACTAGAATTGAGTAGTTGCACAATAGACTATTGCCTACAAGTGTCAGATATTTACTATGTAGCCCTATGCAGAAATTTTACCAACTTCTCATGAAAAAGATGGCGCTGAGGGTTCTGAAAATAGGAAACCACTTAGGCTATTATAATAGAAAATGAGGGATCATTAGCAAAACAGAGTAGTTTATACCTAAAAGAATTATTGGCTGATTGTAAGGTGTAGGTAGAATACAGTTTAGTGTGAACTCATGTGTTCTGTGAATGGGATATAAGTACCAAATTTTGTATGTATGTAGAGGGGATAATACATTAACCACATAGTATATTGAATTGGAAGTCCCTGTGGGACATCTATAATGAAAAAACAATAGTACTTAATAATTAGATTCTCATTTCTAATGGTACCTGACATCATTATTTTTTCAGAGTTTTAATCATTCATAGGTGATTTGTATGAATCCTATGTTAAACCCTCTGCTGTAATCATCAAAAATGGCTCTAGGGTAGAATTTGGCTCCCTAACATTTTCTCTCATCTTACTCAGGTATACCTTTCAAAGATTCTTCCCCTCAGAAGAGCAACACCAAGGAGGAAAACAGGAAAGCTGACTCACTAACAGGCAAGCCTCAAGTGAGTTAGGATCCCACTTTTTGCTGGAATGTATATTCTTTTTTAATATGACTTCCTTTTACTTGCCTTTTAACTTTTGTCAAACATAGTTCCATCCAAGGACATGCTCGAGTCACTTACTCTCCCATGAAACATTACACCTATTTTCATTGGTAATAGACTCTATGGAAAATATTTTGTCCTAGCCTTTTGTAGTCCGTGTGAACCTGCTCCCTCAAGAATATAGATGATAGGGGTGGGGCACATAAATCAGTGGTACAGCACCTGCCTGGCAAGTGTGAAGTTGTGTGTTCAAACCCTGGTACCAAAAAAGAAGAGAATATACACAATAATTGAAGCTTGAGCCTTACCATAGGATGTTTAGAATTAAAAGTGGAGCAGGCCCAAGAATAGAATCCTGATCAATATGATTTACTAAAAAGAGTTAAAAAAAAAATCAAAGGATACTGAAATGAAAGAAACAATGATGGAAGAAGGAAATACGATATCACTAAAACAAACTATGAGAAGTTAAAAAAGAAATATTTTCAAAAATAAAATAATACAACCTAAGTACTCACTAGACTGCACAAGAAGGGAAGCCAGGTAGCCTTGAGTTGCAGAAAGAGAAGATGAGGAAATAGACAAAACAAATGTATACAACTTACAGAGACTGACTCGAAAGGATAAGAAGGGTAGAATTTTATACATTTCAGTGTCATTAAAAACACAAGACAGTGTTGAAAGTTCTGGAGAGAGAAGTGAATTAATTGATAATGTGAGCTAAGAGAATTTACTTATTAACAAATATTTAAGCCTGACGTGCCAGACCCTTTTCTGACAGCTATGAATGTTAATAATAGATCAATGTCTTTGCCTTATGGTAATAACATTCTGATAGAAGCATACAGTCAAATAAAAGCAAATAAGATCACTGCAAATAGAAATAATTATTACAAATGAATGGAGCCTAACATACTAATGACTAATCAGTAATCATCAGTCTTGCCTGTCTGATGAGGTGACATTGTACTATGAGGTCTGATGATAAGAGAACAGGCTATGTTTCTGAATTAGAGAAAATGTCCTTTCTTTTTCTAATCAGAGCCTACATTTTCATGACAAATTTCTCTTAAATCTACCTTAAACTCTTCTTGTCCTAACTCCTTTTCTGTAAATTCCTTGTGCTTTCTCGGAGTGTTTTATTCCACAGTTATTTTAATTGTCCTTTTCTTCTCAAAGTCAAGTAGATGGAAGTAAGAACTGCACTTCCTTTCCATTCTGCAACCGTCATAGAGTTGACTGGCCCTTACTACAATTAATATAATTTCTTCTTTATTACTTTTTTTTTTATCAGTACTGGGGATCGAACTCATGACTGCCTGCTTGCAAGGCAGATGCTTATGCCGCTGAGCTAAATCCCCAGCCCCCTCTTCTTTATTACTTTCAACCCAAAAATTGTTCTATCAATTTCTTGTATATTCTGGCTCCCATGGTATTTTTTCCAAATTCATTCTACCTCTGGTAATATTCTTAGGAGTGACCTTTACTTACAATAAACTTAATGTTTTAGGAACCAGTAACATTCAGAGATGTGATTGTGGAATTGAGTGAGGAAGAGTGGGGACAACTGGACTCTGCTGAAAAGAACCTGTACAGGAATGTGATGCTGGAGAATTACAGGAACCTGAGTTCACTGCATAAAGGTGGCATCTGACTACATTTATCTACATTGTCTACTAGTAGAATCAGCTATTAAAGTTAGAACTGCTGGGGCTGGGGATTTAGCTCAGCGGCATAAGCGCCTGCCTTGTAAGCAGGCAGTCATGAGTTCGATCCCTGGTACCGATAAAAAGGAAAAAGACAAAAAAAAAAAAAAGTTAGAACTGCTGAAGCTGTTATGTTCATTTGGCTCTATGTTCAGGTTTTATAACAGCAGATCTTCCTGTTCTGTCTAGTTGAAAGTCCTTTTTGGTATAGAGCCAGAAATACCTGGGTCTGTGCCACTTTTTGGCCTTGTGTTCAGAAGTTTAGGCTACTGCATTGGAATGGAATTCTGTTCCCAATAAAATATGTGTAGGGTTTCTTATGGTTATTTGATTTTCTCAACTAACAGCTCACTTATTTTCCAAAGCAGTTGAGATCCCTGACTTGCAGAGTGAGAAAAAAAGATGGATAATGGAAGGAGAAATCCCAAGAAGGACCATTGTGGGTAAGAACCAGGCAAATACAAAATATTTGTAGAAAGTTACTGTTTGAATTATTTGTTGTGGAGGTGACAGCAAAAGTACCTAAACTATGAGGGGGTAAGAGAACGGAATATTATTGCCTTTTGTTCACAAGCTCTTTTTTATGTGGTAAAATAGTGCCCTAGGTTAGGCCCACAAACAGTTACTAAAGCTATGTGACTTGGGACAACGCCTTACCTGTAACTTTAAAGTACCTGCTGTGAGGACTAAATGAGTTGAGGCATGTAACACCCTGAGAACACTGTCTAGCTAAATAAGCATACATTAGCTAGCTTAACATTGAACATTATTCTTTTTTTGAAGCAGAAGAAAACCTGTTTTATACTAAGGTAGCTTCGAATAATCTTTTACTTTTCCTTCTTTGATTGTATAGCCTTTTATGCATTAACTCCCTACCCTCCTCATAATCTGTTCTTATTGACACTTTGCAAGTGAATATAAAGTTGAGATAAATGTTAGTAAGCACAGAATAGTATGAAGAAGAATGTAATTCACCCATTACTTCATTCCTTAGAGCTACACAATAGTAACATGTTTGTTTGAGGCTTTTGTTCTTATTTTGCATGATGCCAGACCTTTGCATTGAGGTATATCCCTAGCCCTTTTTTATTTTGAGACAGGATATTGCTTAGTAACCCGGGATGGGTTTGAAGTTGCAATCCTTTTGCCTCAGCCTCTCAGAGTGCTGGATTATAAGCATGTGCCATAATGTCTAGAGGCTTGGGTTTTGTCTTCTTTTTTAAAGATTTGTCTTTTGATACATCTCTGTGATTTCAAAAGATTTGATTTCTATAAAATGTGGGAATATTCTCAAGGTTTTTCCCAAAATGCACCATTTTACAACCTGTTCTTTTTATCTACTGTAGTACCTTGAGCAATTGCCTAGTCAAACAGTATAAAAATGAGTCTTCCATACATATTTTTAAACTTGTACATCTCATTGTAACCCCATTGTTTTATGCCTGTCAGTTTTATAGGTAAGAATCATTCCATCCTAAAACTAAAACATATTCCCTGATTTTATTCTGATTTCATCATTTAAACATCATACCTTAATTCACCTGGCATTTACTTCAGTAAGAATAATTTTTATTTCCTAAATAATTTAAAAATTATAGTTTATTTATGGTGGTAACAAAATCATTCTCACTCATCCCCTAAAGTTGTAGACCTTGTTTTCCTTCACTTTTGAGTCTCAGGCAGCAGTAATGCAGTTTAATCACTAAAATATACAGATGTGATACTTTGCCATTTCCTAGTCCAGCTTGTAATGAACTGGCAGCTTCTGCTTCTGTCTCTTGGAAGTAAGCGGCCATTTGTTTAAATACACTGATGCTGGCATGCTGTGAGAAGCCCTCATTAGCCACTTAGAATTAAGTGGCATATGTTGAAGTAAAGTTGGTCAGAATAACTCTTACCTTGTTCCTTAGAAAACATACTTCCAGGTTTCCCCCATTCAGTATGATGACCATGTGTGTATTATATATAGCTTTTATTATTCAATATATCATCCTTCTATACCTATTCTGTACAGAATTTTTATTATGAAAAGATGTTGAATTTTACTTGATACTTTTTCTGTATCTACTAAGTTGATCAGAATTTTATAAGATGCTTTTCTACATCTAATGAGATGACCATATCATTTTTATCTTTCATTTGATGGATTTAATGTGTTATGTTAATTGATTTGTGTATCTTCAACCATGCCTGCATCCCAGTGATAAAACCAACTGGTATAAATGACCTTTTTATGTGCTGTTGAGTTTGATTTGCTAGAATTTTGTGGAGAATTTTTGCCTTTGTGTTCTTATTAGTATTTGGTTTTCACTTGTGCATGTGTCCTTGACTAGCTTTGTTAACCAGATAATGCTATTTATAAATGAAATAAATCATACTTGCATGTGTAAACACTGTATTGTTTTGCTAGGTTAAGAAACTAAAAGAGTAAATAAAATCCAAAAGTTACAATAGATACAGTAAGGAAAGACTGATCAAAGGAAAATTACATGGTTTGATCAATTCTGTTTTGAAGATAACAATGCAATATAACAACTCTTGTTAAACTCCTGTCATCTTGGTTTGAAATCTTATATTGCTGTTGTTTTGTTGTTATCGTTATTGTTACTATTTTGTTTTTGTTTGTTTGCATCTTGATTTTTCTGTGTTTTTGGAAGGACTCTTTTCCTTCCAATTCTGAGAAATACTCTGAGAAGAATTGACACTTAGTTCTTTTTTAAACTTGGTAAAATTCAACAACGATACCATCTGATTCTGAGCTTTGTTGGGAGGCTTCCCATTACTGTTTCAACCTCAGTATTGTAATTGTTCTATTCAGATTTTTTATTTCTTTGTAGTTAAATTGTGGTATTTCGTATATATCCTGGAATTCATCATTTATTCTGTTTTCCAGTTTGTAATTTTTCTTAATGATCCTTGTATTTCTGTGGTACCAGTTTTAATGTCTCCTCTTTCATTTCTAACTTTGAGTCTTTTTTTTCAGTTAGTATAGCTAAGCACGTGTTGCTCGTTTTTTTCAGATTTGATTTATCTTTTCTACTTTTTTTAGTATGGAATTTCTGCTGTTATCTTAATCACTCCTGTTAATTTGGAATTTGGTTTGTTTTTGCTTTTCTAAATCTTTGAAATGCAATATTAGGTTATTTTAAATATATTTTTATATAGGTACTACTCATTGATACGAATTTCTCTCTCAGTACTCTTTTTGTTGTATCCTACAAGTTTTAGTAAGGTGGTTCCATTTTCATTTGTTTCAAGAAGGTTATTTTCCTTCTAACTTCCTCAATGACTCACTATTTTTCAAAATATGTTATTCACTTTACATTTTTATTTCTAGAATTTCTTCCGTTCTTGACTTCTAAGTCTATTCCATTGTGATAAGAAAGGTTATAGGATATGATTTCAGAGGAAGTTTTCTTAGGTTTTCGTGTTTTTTTTTTTAATTTTTTAAGACTTGTTTTCTGGCATAATGTATAGTCTATGCTAGAGCAAGTTACATGTGCTGATAAGAATATGTATTCTGCAGTTGTTGGATTGTGTTCTGTATGTCCATTTGACCCACAGTATAATTTAACTGATGTTTCTTTGTTAAATTGTTGGCTGTATGATCTATCCATTGATGAAAATAGGGTATTGAAATCCTTCACTGTTACTGTATCAGAATCTGTCTCTTCTTTTAGATTTCATTTCATATCTATTTTATTGAGTGCTTCAGCATTAGGTACATAAAGGTTTACCATCATATCTCTTTTCTGTTTTGGTTTGTTTGTTTGACTGTGCTGACTGAAACCTGGACCACATAGATGCTAGGCAAATACTCTGCCACTGAGCCACATTCCCAGTCCCTTGTAATAGCTTCTTATTGAATTGATCCTTTGATTATTATATAGTGATCTTTATCTTTTTGTGCAGTTTTCATGTAAATATCTCTTTTGTCAGACCCATGAACAACTTTTACCACTTAGTTTACATTTCCTTGTGCCTGAAATATCACTTGTCATCTTTTCACTTTGTCTTTAGTGTTTAGTGATAAAGTCAGTTTCCTGCAAGTGGCATATTGTTGGATTTTTAAAATGCAAATCTATGTCTTTTAATTGAATAATGTAGTTCATTTACATGCTAGGTCATTATTGAACGGTAAAGACTTATTTTTTACCATTCTGTTGAATCTCTTCTAGATGTCTTTATTCTTTGTTTTTCCACTTTAATCTTTGTGGGTTGATGGTTTATTGTACTGATTATTCATTATTGTCTGGCTTCTCTTTTTGTTTTTCTGCTCTTCTAATAATCTTATGCTTTAATGTACTTTTGTGATGGTATTCATCTTCCTTTCACTTCTGGATGCAGGAATCCCTTCAGATCCATTGAAGCCTGGTCTGTCTTGTAGTCATGAATTGTATCAGTTTTTGCTTGTCTTAGGCGATCTTTGCTTGTCTTTTGCTGGGCACAGTTTTGTTGGCAGTTACTTTCTTTCACAATATGGAATATGTAATTCCATTCCCTCCTGGTTTATAAGCTTTGTGTTGGTGAGTCTGTTACTTGTCTGATGGGGATAACTTTAAATGTGACTTGGCAGTTTTCTCTTGCAGATTTTAAAATTCATTGTCTTGGTCTTTTGACATTCTTTAACATGCCACAGTGAAGATCTTTTCTAGTTTATTTGGGATTCTGTAAAATTTCTGCAGATGGATGTTCATATCTTTCCCAATAGAAGGATATTTTCTGATATTATTTTACTAAATAGATTTTCTGTGCCCTTAACTTTTGCTCCTTGGCTTTGATATTCTAGATATATGGATATTTTCTCAGTAGTATCCCATAGGTCTTGAAGGTTCATTTGAGTCATTCTTGTATTTTTTTTCCTTTTTTCTCTTTTCTGACATTTCAAAAGACCTGTATTCAATTTCAGGCTTTATAATTTTACTTGATCTAATCTATTGTTGAGCCTTTCAATTGTATTTTCATTTGACTTACTGAACTCCTTATTTCCAAGGTTTCTGTTTAATTCTTCCAAATTTCTCTCTTTGCAATTCATCGCGTTCACATAACATTTTCATTCTGTACTTAAGACTCCTGATACATGCATATCCTTATATACGTGAGTCTCTATTTCCTCATTAAGTAGTTTCCTATCATTATTTTATCTGATTTTTTTTTTTAGACATGGACACTATTTCACAAAACCAAGATTCAATTCTAAAGCAGAATGTTTCTTTAGAAGAATCAGTTCATGGCATAATTATGACAGTGCCTGCCAAAAATGTACATTGTGCCTTCCACAAATGGAGAGGTAAGGATCAGTTTCATAGGAACCAGGAAAAGCAAGACACAAATTTGTCACAAGAAGATTTTGTTCATATGACAGTTGGCAGTGAAGAAGGGGACTCTGAGTATAACGACAATAAGAAAAGCTTTATGTCAGTTAACTCTGTTTGGGATATACAACCAGAAACATCAACAGAAATGAGGTTCCCAAATGGCCGTAAGTTTACAACTAATTTCAAGTTTAATTCAGACTCTGTGGATAAGCCACATTCAGAATATAATGAATGTGAAAATGCCTTGGGCATTAATACACATATTATTCAGTCCAACAAAAGACATATTACAGTGAAATCCTATGAGTGTTATCAATGTGGGAAAGCCTTTAGCCGAAGTTCATCCCTCATTAGACATCAGATCATTCACACTGGAGAGAAACCCTATAGATGCAATGAATGTGGGAGATTCTTTAACCGACACACAAGCCTTACAAAACATCAAAAAATTCATATGCGAGCAAAGGCCTCTGAAGAAAATACATCTGGAATAGCCTTCTGTAAGAGTGAAAACAGACTCCATTCTGGAGATAATCTCTATCAATGTGTTGACTGTGGAAAATCATTCAACCGTAGTTCCTCCCTTATACGACATCAAATGATTCATACGGGAGAGAGACCATTCATATGTAAGGACTGCAAGAAAACTTTCAACCACCGTTCAAACCTTCTTAAACATCAAAAACGTCATACTCGAGTAAATACTGGAAAGAAAGAAACACTGGATTACCTTTAGTAAGATGAGGAGTCATTCATCGTCATGGAAGTTAGAATCTCATGAATATAATAATTTTACAGAACCATTTGTTAAATGTATTCCTAAAGTAATGTAACAAAATACTGGAGAAAAATTAGACTCCCAAATGAAGCTACTAGGGTTTGTACTTTAAAATACTATCACCATACAAATCTTTGTCTCTCATTTTGGTACGTTACCTTCACCTTTCTCTGGTTCATAAATAGGATTGTTTCTTGCATTCACCTGATTTATTGATGAAATAATATTAGAAAGCATCCAAGAAATATTCCTGGAGTTGACATTTAATTAACCATTGGTCTTTATGAGAAGGTCACAATAAAACAGAAGTGCATAACAAATATAACATAGGAGAACACCTGTAAGGACTGAAGTCTCTAAATTAATGGCCAAGACTTCAGTGACTGTCAGTTATTCTCATTTATTCCACCACTAATATGTTTAGCATTAATATCCTTTGGGATCAGAATTGAGGAAGTTATCAACTGCAATGGGAAATTGGGTTGTTGTTCATTTGTGTGTATTCTTGAAATCTGCATTTTTAAAAAGTATTTTTTGAGATCCACTCTGGAGAGACATCTGTATCCTGAGGTGAACTTTGTATTTACCCAAGTTTTATGAGGTCAATAAAGTATCCTCATACTCTGTGTACCAAAACTGTCTGCTGCAAGCTATTTCAGATCCCAAATGGTTCTTTGAGCCAAGTGGTATATCTTAATCTTCCTCCCAAAATCATTCATACTAGAGAAATTCTCAGTGAATGATGATGGTACCTTCTCATCAAGAGTTCAGACTTTATTCAAAAGCAGGAAAAGTATACTACAGGGGACTTCTAGGATAAGATGAGACATGTTTTTTGCTTACCCTTTACATCAGAACATGGTTATGTTACAAAATGCAATACAAGAAATTGGTGTGGAAATTCATATGTAAACAAACATAATGCAAGTTTTTGGAGAGGCCCAACAAGAATACAGAAACATCAAATCACTTATTGATGTGTTAATTATAATGGATGCTGACTTTTCAAAGGGTATTCTGAGGTTTTTTTTTTTTTTTTATAAACTGTAATTTTTTTTTTTAGGTCATCAAAAGATAAAAATGCTATTTTCATCACTTTCATTATCTTTTCTCTTTATCAGGTATTTGTGCATAACTTTCTGTTTTTAAATCCTTACATGTCAAGCTTTCTCTGTTTTTGTGGTGTTTTTGTATTTTTTTTACTTTTTTGGGGGGGGGTTTTGGTTTTTTTTTGGTACCAGTGATTGAACTCATAGCTTTGCACTTGCCAGGCAGGTGCTTGTGCCGCTGAGCTAAATCCCTAGCCCAAATTTTCTTTTAAAATTATACTATTTTCAGTATAAAGTAACTTCAAGTACCTTTTTAGATTGTGTTTTTATTTTATTTCTTGCAGGATATTTACAGGCAATTGATACCTTTTCTGCTGTCTTTTCACATGCCTGCTTATTTACTGTTTGAATGTTACGGTGCCATCAAAGGCAGATATCTAAAATGATTCATGAAAGAGTGGAGATTAGCTAGGTTATGGTGGGTGGCATGTTAGAAAGGAGAAATGATCAGTGAAAAGCAAGGAACACAAAGCTACAGAGAGACAGCAGTACGTGTTCAGGACACAGAAGTTCATCAGCTGGAAGACGGCACTGAGTAAGAGGAAGTGTTCACATATGGGCACTGCTAGGCAAAGACTCAAAGGCCTTATGAGAGATTTTACAATCCACCGTAAGAGTGAATAAACAAGGTTCTTGTTAATCCCAGTTATTCAGTACTCTAGAACAACTGATTAAAATAATGATAAAAGGAAAACAAATTGGGGAAAATCATTTGCTAATGACATAGTTGATCACTGGTACAGTCTAATGAATAAGCTGAGAATATGTATACACACTTTCCTCAAAAACTATGCTGAACAACTGAGGATTGAGCTCAGCAGCGTAAGTGCCTGCCTTGCAAGTGCACAGTCATGAGTTTGATTCCTGTTCAAAAAAGAAGAAAAAAACTATGCTGAATAAATGAAAAAAAAAAAAAAAACCTGTCTGGCTGAGAAGACTATTATAGAGCTATATAACTGCCCTATAGTAATACAGGTCTTTCACATTATACAGGGGAAATAAATGTAGCTCTCAACCTGCTAGATGTTTGATACACCAAGTTCATGTTCCCCGAAATCAAAGAATGAATTCTAAGGAACAATGCAGGTTAAAAGTTGGAAATTTATCAAGGAAGAGACAGCTTCTGAGAGAAACAGGAGGGGCCTGAGTGGGTTGCCAGTGAACCTACTTCATAGAGGAAGTTTTATGAACCAAAATCATAGGGCAGGTACAATGTAGGTTATGATCAACCAATAAGATTATAAGTATAGCCACTTAGGTAATATTGATCCAATAAGGAAGCAAGTTATATAGCAAGTATACATGGAAAGAACAACTTTCCAGGAAGGGATAGATCCAGGAGTGACCACTCTCCAAGGTGAATGAAGTCTATCCAGACTTTATTGGGCCAGGCGTAAGCATTTATCTTTGGGGAAACATGTCTGGTCATTCTGTCTTTACCTTGAGGCCTGGCTTTCAGCAGATACCCCTCTGGCCACAGCTGCAATGTGTTTTTATCCTTGGTATTAACTCTTAAGGATCTATCCTATAATATTTCTAACTTAGCAGTCTCTCTTTAAAAATTCTGTCAAATATTTAAGAATTTATTTCACAAAATGGTTACAAAGTATATTTTGTAGAAGTAACAAGTTAAAGTAGCTGTCACCGTTTCTGAAGGGCAATAACAGGTACCTTACTAGTAATACAGTGTGTAAGTGGTCCAGGCAGGAATAGACAGCTTTTGGACAAAACTGACTGTAGCTAGACTTAATGTGTCTGTAAGAATTCTCAATAAAATTATCACTTCAGATCACTGTTGAAAAAAGTTAACTCAGTATTTGCACATTCCTTATGCAGACACATTAACTATGAATATACAGTTAATGTATTCCATATGCATACAACAGGAAAGGAAAACCTTGCATGAGTATTTTAAAACTAAATTTATTGAGCCAATAAATTAATGAAATTAATACAGGTTACCTTTGGCCTCTACAATTAAAAAGAGATGCTACAATTAAAAAGAGATGCTCAAAGTAGTGGCAATTAGCATCCAGACATTTATTAGCATAGTGAACGGTTGAAGTGTGTATTCATTTTTTTGGCTGCCTGTATATAATATAAATATTCATTAATGTATTAAAACCAAAAAATGTGAGCATGCCATAGAAAACTAGTTAAACCATTAATCAAGGAAATACTGTATTTTAACCTAATAAAAACAAATCCACATTCTGGACAGATAGAAAACGTAAAGGAGAAATAAAAATAATTTAGTGAGACTATCAATAAATTTAATTCATATACAACTAGCAAGAATGTAAGTTTCTTTTTAGGAGGGCACATTTAACCTGTATTAAGAGCCTTTAATACAGGGGAGTAAATAGCAGATAAGGACTCAAAAACAAGATGAATTCATTTACTTCTCCAGGGATAGAGTACAATGCACAGTCAGGAACACAGAAATCCATAGTCCTTAAAAGCTTTAAATCCAGTTTGGGGAGCGGGTTGGTCTAAAAATGACTCCTCTGTTGCAAACAAGGAATTCACTTTGGATTTACTCAATCACCCAGGCCCCCCACACACTTAAACACAACTAACACTCAATCTAAATTCCTGCTGCTGAACCCTCAGGCTTGTATGACCTCACAACAAAGTAAGCAACCCCTTCAGCATCTTGCAGCTTCAGGACCAGTAGTTTCCCCTGCTTTGCTGACAACACTAGGGACAGTCTCAGCTTAAGCTAAAAACCATGGCATTTTAGCTCCTGTTGTAAAGCTCTGGCTTTACCCACATGGATCCACTGGGAGCTGAAAAGGCTCCACAGTTCCAGGAGTGTTGCTACACATGTCCCAAATCATCTTTGACACCTGAGCTTACCCAGTAAGAACTAGGAAATATTTCCTTCTCAGACCACAGCCTTGGGATGCAGCTTCAAGTACCAAAATCCTTAGCTTCACTCAAGCTTGTCCCTGGGGACCAGAGAACGTGCCCATATGTGTTTCAGCTCCAGAACTGTAACTACTAATACAGGCCTTGTCCCCACCAGAATTCCCACCACTGCAGTTCTAGGCCCATAAAAACCCAAGCCAAAACCCCCAATAACACCTGTGCTTAACCCATGGGAACAAGGAAAAGTTGCCCCATGCTCCATACATTCACAGTGGATACCAACTCCACAAGCCCAAACTACCTGCACATGTGCAGAAAGACCTCAGGACGATCTCTACAGCTCCTAAAATTTGAATCACAGTACTGGTGCCAAAAGCCCTGGTACCACTTCCATCGAGCCTGCAGTTGGATCCTGCAACTGAAATACAACAACTAATACCACTTCAAGTCTCAATACTAACTGCAGTGATTTGTGGAACTTAAGAAAGTTCTCCTTTGTGCTCCATAAACTCAAGTCCACGTATGGAGCCACAGACCTTAGCATCACTTGTGTCCACTCAGAATCTAGCAGAGCTCCTTCCTGTCCCATCCTCTTTCCAGAACTGTAGCTGCTGCTACCACATGTCTAAGTCTCTCTGATATTGATCCTGAGAATTCTAGGAAAAGGTTCCTCCTCTTCTGCAGCCCAGGGACTGTGTCTACTAATGCCACCACCTTATCACCTGTGCATGCCCCAAGCAAAATAGGGACAGTTCTGTCCAAATTCTGCACCACTGAGACTGTGGAACTTATCACAAGTCCCAATGCTATCAGTGCTCAACTCTGTGGAGTCACATAGTTTTGGAGTCATATCCATTGCAGTCATAAAACTACCTTGATGAGCTGCTGCAGTACACATTGTTGAGACACACGTAGTGATAACATCAATCAAAGATGAAACTACACAGAGATGGTAGTTTTGAACTCCCATATAAATAAACCCAAGGCACCCATTCAACTGACATACATTCACCTAAATGATAAATCTTTTCTTACAAAAACTACACCAAAAAATCGGAAAAAAAATATTACAACAGATGCACAGACATCAATGTAAACAAAAGAAATGTGAAACATGCACTTCCAAAGAAAAATACTCTCCCAAAAGAGATCTGAATTTGAAGGAATCATTTGGAATTCCTGAAACAACGTAAGATAAAGATCCTAAAGAAACTCAGTGAAATGCAAGAAAATATCGGTAAACAACATGAAGAAATGAGAACAATCCTATGAATGAGAATTGATAGTAATTATTTGTTGGGAGCCGCAGCTGAGCCCGGTCGCCTTACTTGGCGGACGTGAGGCCTGTAAGAAAGAGCAAAGCCTGAGCTAGATTACCCCTCCCATCGAGTGTGCTAAGATGGCGCTTATCTCCTACTTCCTGCTTGGTAAACAACCCGCTCTGTACGATAGTCTGCCTAGCAACAACTGATGTTAGCCAATCAGCCCGCATCGCGCGCTTTGAACTGATTGGCCACTGTAACCCTATAAAAGTGAGTGCCTCTCCCGCCACGAGAGAAGAAGCACGGAAGGAGCCGCGGAGAGCGGACCGGTAGAGGCTTCGGGACAGACTATAGAGAAGAAGCACGGAAGGAGCCGCGGAGAGCGGACCGGTAGAGGCTTCGGGAAGCACGGAAGGAGCCACGGAGAGCGGACCGGTAGAGGCTTCGGGACAGACTGTAGAGAAGAAGCACGGAAGGAGCCGCGGAGAGCGGACCGGTAGAGGCTTCGGGAAGCACGGAAGGAGCCGCGGAGAGCGGACCGGTAGAGGCTTCGGGACAGACTGTAGAGAAGAAGCACGGAAGGAGCCGCGGAGAGCGGACCGGTAGAGGCTTCAGGAAGCACGGAAGGAGCCGCAGAGAGCGGACCGGTAGAGGCTTCGGCCGGGAAGAATCCCGGGGCAGACTGTACGGAGAGGGAAAATAAAGAAAGCCCAGCCACTGCCAGATCTTGTCGTGTGTTCTTCCTGCCGGCCGGGAGCGACACCAACAATTATTAAAATGCATACCCTATGGATGTGGGATCCTGTGAAGCTATGCAGGAGCAGTTCCCAACAGCTCAGCAGACCTGTCCCTGTGAACCAGCCACATGGTGCTGCCCACTTTCCTGCTGCCCAGGAACCCATGTAGACCTCCCTGAGCAGCTCAACCTGCAGAGGCTTCCTAGAGAAAATTTCTGGCAACGCTGCCACATTTCTGCTATATCAAAGACAGCAAGGAAGCCCTATTCACTCACTGCTGAGACCTGTGAAGCAGACAGGCAGTCAGTTTTGAGTGACTCAACCCTCGAGGCCCTGAGAATCAGCAAGTGACCATGAAAGTTTTCTCCAAGCAACTTGGCTTGTCAAGACCTGGGGGAAGGCTTAGCCATCTTCCTGTGACCCCAAGAATCAGGTGGTTGTCAGGAGCACATCCTATCAAGGTCTTGAAAACATAGATGGCTCTTCTACCTACCGAAAACAGGTCAGCATTCTGTTGTCTGCTACAGTCTGTACTCAAGCATCATGCAAGCAAGTCTTGAAAAAAATCAGTAAAAGTTACATGATAATGTTAAAGTTTGTGACTTTGTGGGGCTGAATTACTATCTGTCCAGCGCTTTGTGTGGCTCATGGGCCATGGGTTGGTCATGTCTACTATAAACTTAATGGATCTAATGGACATATACAAAATGTTTCACACAGATACAGAACAAATGGAAGATTCTCTAAGGTACAATATAAATTAGGCTATGATATATGTGTGTCTGTTGGTGTGTGAGACAGGGCTATGCAGGTCAGGCTGACCTTGGGCTCACTTTGTAGCCCAGGCTGGTCTTGAACTTGCAACAATTCTCCTGCCTCAGCCTGCCAAGTGCTGGAATTACAAGAGTGTACCACTCTTGTAATCAAAACCAGGCCATAAATCTTCTCATGAATACAATGAACTAAAATTAGAACCCAATTATTAATGGACCCTTAGAGGAACTGGGGATATAGCTCAGTGGAGGAGTGCTTGCCTGGCATGCCCAAGACCCTAAGTTCAATCACCAGTACCACACACACACACACACAAAAAAAAAAGACTGATGGATCAAAGAGCAACAATTGAAAAATAAAAAAATTAAAAATGGAATCTTAGAAATTGTATCAACATGCGGCAGGCAGTTAAAATTCTCTTAAACAACCAATAGATCAGTGAAGACATTAAAGGACTATTTTAAATTAAAAAGCATTTTTGTGTGTTTTGTTTTTCAAGATAAGGTCTTGCTGTATAGTTCAGGGTGGCCTTGAATTCACTGTGTCACTATGTAGTCCATGCTGGCCTCAAACTCATAGTGACTCCTTGCTTTGCCTCCTAAATGCTGGGATTACAGGCAAGAGCCAATATGCCAAGTTTTCAATTTGAAAATGTCTTGAAACAAATGAAAACACAACAAACCATAATGTGACACAGCAAAAGCAGTACTAAGAGAGAAATACATTTTCTTTTTCCATTCATCTGTATAGCAGTAAGTGCCAACATTAAAGAAAAGAAGAATTTCAAATGAACAGCCTAATATGTCAACTCAAGGAACTAGAAAAACATGAATGAATACCACAGTCAGTAGAGAAAGTAACAAACGTAAGAAATAAACAAAATAGAGACAAAAATAGAAACAGTGGACTTTTTGAAAAAAAATTGACAGTGTTAACTACACTAAGAAAAAAGAGAAGAACCAAAGAAATAGTATCAGAGATGAAACAGAAACATATCTATTTCTACTACTACAGAAGCACAAAAGATAATTAGGGATTATTATAAATAACTAAACAACAAATTAGAAAAGTCAGAAGAAATGCATACATTCTAGAGACATACAACAAAAACCAAATCAAAGGAAATTTAGAAATTGGACAGTCCCATAACAAGTACCAGAATATATATATTCTGGTATATATATTCATATATATATATATATATATATATATATATATATATATCCTAACAAAGAAAAAGTCTGGGACTGCATGTCTTCATTATTGAACTGTACCAAAATTTTAAAGATGCCAGTTATTCTCACACTATTGCAAGGATTTGAAGGGAGGAAACCCTTCCAAACTCATTATGTTAGCACACAACCTTAATAGTGCCAAATCAAGTAAAGACACAACCAAAAGAAAAAAGAAAAGTACTATATTACTAATAACCATGTTGCAAAAAACCTCAAAATATACAAGTAAATGATTTTAGAGTTCTTATTACAATTTTCATTGTAATAGGAACTTTTGCTTGAGCGTGATGAATTTGGTGACTCTCCTGTAATGAATACTGACAGCAGAAGTGATGGAACTTAAATTTAAAGATCATGCCCTGGAAACAGCGGTGTCCTGTCTTCAGCTCTTTCTCTCTGGTCTGCACTCTGGGAAAGCCAGCTGTCATATGAGTGCAGCCCTATGGAGAATGAACTGATACCTCTAGCCATCGGTTAGTGAGGACCTGAGACCTGTGAATTATTAAGATGACTGCAACCATAAATAATACCTTAACCATACCCTTGTAAGAGACTCTAAGCCAGAAATATCTGAGCCACACCTGGAACCCTGACTCAAAGGAGATAAGAACTTGTTGGTTAGTTTTTGAGTAGTTTGTTACCCATAAATACATAAGTGTATAATACTTTTTCAGATTCTTCAGTTCTACACTCATTTGATAAAATGTGGTATCCACTCCCATTATTCCACAATTATTTAGGGTAGCTTGTTTATAATAAAATATACTTTAAAAATTATGGTTAGAATTGTACATACATTAACTCATTAATTAATTGTAATTATTTTCCAGTAAATTATCTCTTTATATGTTTATTAGGTTACTAGTTTTTTTCCTAATAGTCATGAGTTCATTGTACTTTAAGGAGATACAGATGTTACAGATGTATTTACTTGTCTTCTGACCAATATGTAGTAAAATACAAAATATTAAAGAGTCTTGGCACAGTGAAGAATGATATTAAAGCTGTTCACATGATTATAAAGAGGTAATCAAGTAGTATGGTCTCAGAGATTCACATTAGAAACTTTAAAATACTAGATTCCCATTCCCATCGCACAATGCGTCATCTTTCTTGGGTTTACTCTACGAATAGGTTCTTTCCACATATTTAGCCAGTAGTTTTTGTGGGGCCGGGGGGGGGGGGGGAATTGTTTCTCTCTCTCTCCACTGTCTGTTTTTTGTTTTGGTACCAGAAATCGAATTCATGATCTTGCACTTGCCAGGCAGGTGCTGTGCCAGTGAGCTGTATCCCAGAGACCTTTCTACATATTTAGAAAAATTGTTGCATGCCAAAGCAGATGTACATGTCCTAAAGTTTGCAATCACAGTTTAAAGAACAAAAAAAGTATATATTTAAAGGCTCATGTAACAGGCTGGGAATATAGCAGTGGCAAAGTGCCTGCCTGGAAAATGCAAGGTTGTTTGATCCCTGGTATGAAAAACAAATAAATAAAAAGTCCATGTAATAATTCCATAGGACTCTTTAATTCATTGTACTTGGGTAACACAAACCCTTCACACTATGACTGACCAACCAGGAGTTACTTTTATATCCTCACATTTAAAGTACAGAATTCTAAGAAATAGAGAGGGGAAAATTCTTCAAAGGGTATATAGATTCTAATGTAAGAGAGTTGTCCAATATAGTGCTTTTGGCATGAATACTGTTCACTTTTCATCTACACCAGTCATGACTTGTGGTTGATTGGATTCATGATTGGTTGAGATGAGGTCTTACTCTACAGCCTTAGGCTAGCCTGGAACTCATAATCCTGCTTCAGCCTGCCAAATACTAGAATTACAGCATGTGAAGCCATGTCCAGCTTTATGTAATTTTAACACTGTGGAAAATTATGACAGCTTACTCTACCACCAAGTATTTCATTTGTGAACAATGGCTCTTTTGGGGGTGTGAGGAAACCAGCGTCTCTGGGATAGAATATATTTATAGCCCTACCGAGATTAGATGGATCCGACCAGCTGGCAAGACAAATCTGCTCAGCCCAGTGCTCCCGGCTTCCTGTTTGCAGCCAGAGGTAAGAGAAGGTCCAAAGCCTGACACTGGGAGATCTTTAGTGGGTGCCCCTAAAGTTCATAGCTTCTGCCCACCAATGAACAAGGAGAAAATCTAACCTAAACCTCTTCTAGTGCTATGACATTCCAATAGGCGAGGGGGACTAGCAGTTCCAAAGGCTGAAACTGCCACTGGCGGGAACAAAACCCGAGGCAATGTCCTAATGGCCTTGCACTCCAGCGCAGCTGGGGTGAGATTTTAGGGCTGCAGCGGGAGCGACCCACACTGGGCAGAAACTGGAGTGTCTGGGAGCCTGCAAACTGCTGATCCCACTGCATCCCAAAAAGGGCCACAGCCGCTAGGATCCAGGGTTCTGTAGACTTGTCAAGACTGTGTGTACAATGCAATACAGAAAACTTTCCAAGGAAACTGAGCACCCCTTCTTTATAGGCTCCTGTGTGGTTTCTATTGTAAAGGTAGGGTGCTTGGCCAAATTCTCCATGGGACCAGACCCTTCCTCCCCTTGGTGTCTGAGAAATCCTGACCTTTTCCGACCCATGAGATTTCAGCCCTTCAAGATAAGCTTCTTGGGATCTCTCGAAATGGTGGTTAAATATGATAAAATGCATTATACATTGAATTGCCCCTCAAATGTGAGACTAAACAGTGAATGTGGGCTCGTGCTCTTACAAAGCTACCAGAATGAATCCATTAACCTTAAGGGCTGTTTTGTTGTACCAGGACTCGTGCTTGTAGGCAGATGCTTCACTGCTGAGTTGTATCTCCAGTGAACCCAGTACTCTGTATAACCAATAACGTAGGGGAAAAAAAAAAAAAAACCCTCATATGCTAAAAGGCAAAATAATTCAAAAATATTAAAAGGTTTATAAAATGTTCAGATAAACAAAATCAGTGTGCTGTGAAAATTGTGGGGCATGAACTATTCCAGAGATGTGCCTTACGACTCGAATGTTTTTCTTTTACAGCAAAGACTAAAACTCACAAAGGTCAAATGATTATCCCAATCTCATATCAACAACATATCCTGAATCCTTCCCCAGTGAACTTTTCAGATACTACGCTGTTGAGGAAAAATATTTTCCAGGATGTTAACATTTTAATTTATTTGATGAATGAATGAATGCATGAATGTAGTAGTGGTGGGAAGTGAACCCAAGACCTTAAACTGAGCTACAACCCTATCTTTCTCCCTTTTTAAATCATTTGGTTCTCATTAACCCATTAGATTGCCAGGCTGTCCTCAAACTAACAATCTTCCTGCCTTCATCTCCCAGTGTCCTGGGATTACAGGTATGTACCACCACATGACAACTGATTTTAATGCCCACTGTAATGTTATTCTAAATCTTAGGGCCTCACAAAATGAACAGCACACTATAGTATCACCTTTTGGATTAATTTTGTAGTTCTTTACCTTCTGCATAGCCTAGTACAGTATTCAGTAGGTATTACAATTTGATCAACTTGACAGGCATTTCTGACAGGATTTGCCTGATTTATGCTTCTACCAGAATTTTAGATGACAATGTATATTATTTTCAATCCACACTGATCTAAGTGTGGTGACAATGTGTAGAAATATGCTCTGTCTTCATAAAAACACATCTGAACTCAGAAAATCTTAATCACTGGGCAGTATTTTCTGCTAAAACTGCTCACATTTCTTGAAACACTTTTTCCTCCCATGATCCTCCACTAAGAGTAGAACCACTATCTCTGGAAAACCAACCTTGACTCCTCAAGGATGGGTATGACTATTCCCATGGCACAATTCGAGCATTGTATTCTCTAGATACAAATATTCTAGCTTTCTCAGAGTAGCTAAAACCCCATCATGAAAATATTAATACAAAAAAGAGTATCACTGTACTTAAAACACTATATGCTCAAACACAAGCTTTCACAAGCAAATTTCTACATCTGTAACGTTGGACTTTCTCTTGGTTATTAAAATACTAGAGTTCAGTTTTAAAATCACCTCATACACTTATATTCAAAATTTTATCATTTTTCTCACTTCTACTACTGATACCTTGTTAATACTTTCTCTCTTTTAGGGACTACTAGACTTCCTGCCTGGTCTCTACTTTCAGTCAAATCTTAACACAAAACTCAGAGAAGGTACTACTAAAATTTGTTAGATCGTGGCATGTGAAACTTTCCAATGGCTTATTTCACAAAACTATCAAATGTCCTAACAATGACTTATAAGGCCTTTAATCTCACTCCCTATTTTCCTTGTCCCTTATTTTGCTGTGGTACATTACAGATACATTCCTTGCTAGTCTCAGAACCTTTTCACTTACCAAATCCTCAGAATTAAACTCTTTTTCCATATAGCTCCATAGCAAACTTGCTCCCTTAAATCTTTCCTGAAATGTTATCCGGAGGCCATTCTTTACCAACCTACCTAAAACTGCAAACTTCAGCAACCTCACATTTTCCATATTTTAAATTTTTCTCAACTCATCAAAATGCAGTACATGCCTAATTTTTGAGAGCATCACAGTTACCACAAAGTGCCAAACCTCAACAGAAGAATAGTTCCGACTTTTCTCATTGACAGAAATAACATCTTTCCTATGTTCTCAGGTATGGGTCTGTACAATGATTTCCTCTTTTATTAGGTGGTTTTTGCAGCATACACTATTTATTTCTACCAATCTCATGGTTAATTCTTATATATTTGAGCAATATTATTTACCAGGGTAAAATTTTGTGGGTTTTTTTTTTTTTTTTTTTTTTGGTGGTGGTCTATTAGGAACTTCACAGGTGTCATGGTCTGGATCCAAAATGGTCCGTAAGGCTTGTGTAGAAGATGGCTGGATTATGAGAACATTTTAGCTGACTCTGCTGATAGATGGGTCTGGTCAAAAGGGGCAGGTCACTGGGGTATGACCTGGAAGTGTTCATCTCCCTCCTCGGCTCCTTCCCTCTGCTTCTCTGTTGCCTTAAGATGAGCAGCATTCCTCTGTCCAGGTCGTTCCACCATGACACTGACCACCCAAGGACTGAAAATTCTACAACATGAACGAAAATAAACCTCTTCTTAAATTGGAAGTGTAGAGTATTTTCTCTTAGTGCCAAGTGACTAAAACAGGGAAGTTTAAAAGACACTGTTTCACAGATGGCTAACCAGCTTCCATTGAAACTAAGACTCAAATGTTTTTAAAGTCAGTAAAAATACAAAGTTAGACTTTGCATCATTTCTTGCACATTAAAATACACTGGAAAAAGAGACTACAATGAAGCAGAGTTTTCTCTTTAAAATTTTTTTACATATTTTAACATTATACAGAATACATACAGTACTTTTACATATATATATTCATCGTCCTAATGATCTTTTGAAGAAAATTATTCTTAGAAATTATTAACTGGGAGAAAAATGGTTGTTTCGGATTGTGTTTTTCATAAGCTTTCTTTGCCAGAAGCACTGAGTTTAAAGGTTAAGATTTAAGCTATTAACTAAGTGAGCAAGACTTGCAAAGTTTCTTACATGGTTATTGTAAAGATAACTTCGGGGGGTTGGGGATTTAGCTCAGCGGCATAAGCGCCTGCCTTGCAAGCAGGCAGTCGTGAGTTCAATCCCTGGTACCAATAAAAAGGAAAAAGACAAAAAAAAAATAATAATAATAATAACTTCAGACCAAATCCCTTATGAAGTTCATAAAATTTATAAGATTTTTTTCTCCCATATAGACTCTCTGATGAATCTGAAGATCTTAGCTATGACTGAAACCCTTACCATACTTTACACACTGTTAAGGCTTTTCTCTTGTATGGACCCTCTGATGAATATGAAGATTAGAGTTGTGACTAAAGCCTTTTCCACAATCATCAGAATTTAGGGTTTTTCTCCAATATGCACTTTCTGATGAATGAGAAGATGGGAACGCTGACTGAATCTCCTTGCACACTTCTCACATTTATAGGGTTTCTCTCCAGTGTGTACTCTCTGATGAATTTGAAGATTTGAGCTACAGGTAAAGCACTTACCACACTCCTCACATTTATAAGGTTTCTCTCCAGTGTGTACTCTCTGATGAATCTGAAGATTTGAGCTATAGGTAAAACACTTATCACACTCCTCACATTTATAGGGTTTCTCTCCAGTGTGTACTCTCTGATGAGTATGAAGCTCTGAACTCTTGCTGAAGCTCTTCCCACATTCCCGACAAGCAAAGGGTTTCTCCCCTGTGTGGACCCTCTGGTGAATTCGAAGATCTGAGCTATAACCAAAGTCCTTTCCACAGTCATGACATTTGTAAGGCTTCTCTTTTGTGTGTACTCTCTGATGAATTTGAAGATTTGACCTACAGGTAAAGCACTTACCACACTCCTCACATTTATAGGGTTTCTCTCCTGTATGTACTCTCTGATGAATTTGAAGATTTGAGCTACAGGTAAAGCACTTACCACACTCCTCACATTTATAGGGTTTCTCTCCAGTGTGTACTCTCTGATGAGTCTGAAGCTCTGAACTCTTGCTGAAGCTCTTTCCACATTCCTGACAAGTATAGGGTTTCTCCCCTGTGTGGACCCTCTGGTGAATTCGAAGGACTGAGCTGTAACCAAAATCCTTTCCACAGTCATGACACTTATAAGGCTTCTCTCCTGTATGTACTCTCTTATGAATTTGAAGATTTGCACTACGGGTGAAGTACTTACCACACTCCTCACATTTATAGGGTTTCTCTCCTGTGTGTACTCTCTGATGAGCTTGAAGCTTTGAACTTATGGTGAAGCTCTTCCCACATTCATGACAAGTGTGCGGTTTCTCCCCTGTGTGGACTCTCCGGTGAACTCGCAGGACTGAGCTGTGACCAAAGTCCTTTCCACAGTCATGACATTTATAAGGTTTCTCTCCTGTGTGTATTCTCTGATGAGCCTGAAGATTTGAGCGCCGGGTGAAGCACTTACCACAGTCATCACACTTATAGGAATTCTTACCTCTCTGTTCTAAGTGATGAATTTGAAGATCTGAGCTCTGACTGTAGCCCTTACTGTGCTCATCACACGCACACGGTTCTTCTCCTGTGTGGACTCTCTGATTAACAGGAAGTACTGAACTCTGATTCAAACACCTACTGCACTGATCACTCTTAAAAGGCTTCTCTCCTATGCAAAGTCTCTTATGAATGTGAAGTAATGATTTTCTACTGCTGTCTTTATCACACTCTAATTTATAGAGTTTTGTTTCTTTGTGGGGTGTTTGAGGACTGTGAAGACAAGAGATCTGACTAAAGCTCTTACCACATGCATTACAGATACAAGACATTTCCTCTGCACAGACCTTCTTATGAAAGTGAATTTCTGAGCTCTGACTAAAGTTACTGCCAACTTTATCACATCCATACAGCTTTTTCCTTGTATGGATTCTTGGATGTCTGTATAAATCTGATCTCTCAGAGGAGCATGCTGTGCTGATAGAATGTTGACAGAGCTTTTTTCCAAGACAATTTTTCTTGTCCAGGACAAACTTTGAGTTCCAAAAATAAACTTCTTTACATTTATTACATTCACCGTATTTTTCTTGCATAGGATCTTTCCGTAGGTTATTCTGGCATATCCCCTCAGCATACTCTGCAAAGGCTTCCTCCTTTGGGATATAAAAGTGCTGAACTCTAAGGTTTTTGCTTTTTTCCATAGGAAGATCTTTTCTGCATGTGTCAAGATGGTATTGGTCCCCTTGAAAACCACAGGAATCATTCATATAGACTTCTCTAACATAGTCTTGATTATTTTTTGTTTTTAAGGACTGCCAAGATATACACTTTTTATATTTTGAGCTACTAGAATTTTTGCCTTCAAAAGTCAGTACATAGTTCCCACAGCTTAGTGTTTGTGTAGAGAAAATGAACAACTCTTGACACTGAGAAGGGTCTTTAGAATGTCCCCCTTGAATGGTTTGCTCACAGTTCTGATTCTCATATATCTGAATGCCAGCATCCATCCAGCCTTGCAAGCAAGGAAAATTTTCATACTCTAAGTATCTGAGTATTTCTTCGTGTGGTCTATAGCTCTCATTCAAGTTTCCTAGAAAAATAAGCAGATACTTCATTGATGACATAAAGTTTGTGCTTAGAAATTTCTAAGTATGTATATCAATGACCTCTTGAATTATAGGATTACATAATAGAATGCAGTACAAATGAAGGATTATGACTTTAGTTACTCCGCTGTGCCTAAAATTTATTTTGCTAGTTAATAAATGTATTCACTTATTTACTCATTAATTCATTCCACAAACGTATCTTGAGCATCTAGTTACCAGGCACTGTTAGAAATAATACACGAAGGCTAGGGGCTGGAAATTTAGCTCAGCGGCACAAGCACCTGCCTTGCAAGCAGGCGGTCGTGAGTTCAATCCCTGGTACCAATAAAAAAACAAAAAAGACAAAAAAAAAAAAAAAAGAAAAGAAAAATGAAGTTTAATTTTATTATTTTATTTTGGCATTATTATAATAAATAAAATATACTTTTTTTTCTGCTCTAGAATAAAGACAAGGGGTAGGTAAAACGGCTTCATTAATTCTCTACTTTTTATTTTTGAACGTCCTCTTTTTATATTACTTTTAGGCTTAACTACCCAATTTTGTCACTAGGACAACAGCAAAAGTGCCACAAGCAGAAATACAAAAAGTGCTTTTTGCTTGTTGCTTTTGAAAATCCTGTGGTCACCCTTGTGTAAATGAACCTGAGACAGCTTGTATGAAGCTGTTAAGGTATCCCTATTATCCCCCACTGATACTGAGCCAACTGGCAGGAAGCATGGGAATCAAGATAGCTAAATTTATCTTTTAACATCCCAGCCCCAACCAAGTCTCTCTATGATAGAAGATTTAATCAGTCAATAGGAATCATAAAAAATAATATCATTAAAACACTAAATCTGAACCAGTTTATTACAAAACAAAATATGGAGAACAAATTTAGTACCATACAAAATTGATCATATATGGCCATCTGGCCTTTCAGGGTAAACTCAGAAGATAACTAGAAATAATTGTAAGTATGTAGGTATTTACATAGGTCCACAAGTCTTGGGAAATATTTCACTTTACCTTTTCGTGTTACATCCCTAATCCAAAACTGAAATCTGAACTGTGCTGAAATCCAAAACTATGAAATGCTAACACGCTCAAAAATTTCAGATTAGGGATGCTCAAGTAGTAAAGTATTCTAAATTTTAAAACAAACTCCAAATCTGAAACACTTCTGATCCCAAATATATTTTGGACAACAAACGTCAAACTGTTTTTCTCATCTGATTTAAAACACATTTTTTAAAATATTTATTCTACCACCTCAATAAAAGACCAGACAAGGAAGTGAAGTTTTCAACATAACTGCTTGTTAAAAACAAAAAATCTAAATGTATTTGCTGTGGGCTGGCATACCCTTACCTACTGACATGACATTTGTGTAGTTCTCCCACATGACTTCCCAGTAGAGATATTTTTGGAAAGAATTCAGGAATTTCCACTCCTCCAAAGTAAAAATAATAGTTACTTCTTCGAATGTTACTGCCATCTGGCTTCTCAAACAGCAATCTAAGTGTGAAGACAGACAAAAGATATTTAGCAGGTAATGTAAATGGCAAAGAAAAAGAACAAACAGGAAAGAAAAAAAAAAAACTCCACAAGGAAGAAAAACAAAACATGTAAAAAAATATATATATAACATCTGTACATTAAATAGCTAAATACAATTTCCCACTTCTGTTATAGCTACTCTGTAAACTTCTATTTTCAAAATTATATTACTCTTCTTTCATGATTTAGTCCTTTATTTTGGAGGAAATTAACCAAATGAGGTTAATCAAACCTATTAATATAAGCCTGATGAAAAAAAGCAAAAATGAGAAATAGGCAAGGTCCCTTCCAAGATCCACCATTTAATTTCAAAAAAAATCTCCAAAATTGATTAGGAACATTGCCAGGAATCATTTGAATAACCGTGCATCTGAAGTGTTCATTAACCCCTCACAGTTGGCTGTGTTTAGAACTATACAGTGAAAAAAATTTACTCAGATTTGAGCTGCTTGTTTCTAAAACTGATTTTTTATTTCTAACTCTTAATGCCTTTGCAAGTTATCTTTTCTTAGTTTTCCTCTCGAAAACTATCTTTTAGGATCTTTGTTCCCACTAATCCCTTAGTTATGTCCAGTAGGCATTACAACTGAGACTCCTGATCATCAGTACTATCAAATTTTCTCATTTCTCCTCTGATTTCATTCATTTAAAACACTGGACTTCCACTAAGTCACCTATTAGTCATAAACATTGTATTACATGGTCTCTTTTTGACTGTCCATTTTCTCTTATAATTTGCTTTTTGTTCTACCACCTGGGGACAGTTTATATTCCAACTTTTATACTTAATTTTTTATTTGAGCAATTATGTTTTAACATCTAAGAGATTTTTTATACTATGGTGCCTTTTCTTGGTGTCCTGTTCTAATCTTATACATACCTCTAAAAACTTTCTGAAGATATTAATTAATTATACAGATATAATATTTTAATTAATACTATTTAGAAGTTATATGGAGTTGTATCTATACTTTATTTCCTTAGTCACTGACTCATCCCACAAATATCTTAATTTTTCAAGACTAAAGATTTAAGATTTATTAAAATTACAATCATTTCTCAAGTGGTGTCTTATCAGTTGTATGAGTCAAAAGGCAGAAAACTGTAGGAGTGCTCTCCACTACAGAAAAACAAATATCTAACCTCCTACTTGGAGAGCAAATTGTTTGCATTTCACCTTAACAATCTACTATAAGCAGTCTGGATGCAACCTCAGCCTGAAGATATCAGAGCTCAGTGCATTTTTTGGCTACATTCCCTGTGTGGATTTTCTACAATGCAGTATCTTTCACTTTAAGTGGCTATTATCACTATTCCTTCTAGATTTTTGTTAAAATTTATGGCTTTTCATTTAATTACTGCAAGTTCATGAGTTTAACTTTTTATTGTGATCACACAGTTTTAGAAAGGAAAAGAGAAAAAATAATATGTAATCGAACTGCCTAAAAACATTTTTTGGTGGGAAGACCATAAATTAGTTATGTAACAAATTAATTTTAGGTTTTCCAATTATAAAATTCAACTAAAAATATTTAGTAAATACTGTGCTAGGTATATGGTAAATAGATATTTTAAGGAGTTTACAATAAAATGAAAAGAAATTAAACTGATATATCATCAACATCCTCATTATCATAGCAGCAAAAACTTCCCAGATATTTATTATGCAAATAAGAACTGTTATCTTCTTCACTCTCATAACAATCCTTAAGGTATTATTAGTCACAGTAATGGAATTAAGAAATTAACACTTAACTAGATTAAATAACTTTAAAAGTCATATAGTGAGTATTTAAAATTCAGACTTCAAGTGAGAGAAATTTTAAAATCTTTGCAGAGGGTTAAAAATTAAGCTTCCCAATTAGGAGACCCTTGATGAGCCAGACAGGAGAAAAATTCTGCCCATGGCCTAACCACTACCCCAGGCACCTTAGAGAATGGAATGGGAGTAGAGAAGCCCTGCTCATCAACTCTCCCAGGAATATCAGTCAGCCAATGAGAGACAAGAAACACCATTCATCGACTCTTTGTCACTCTGAGAACTTGGCCAGGAGGAACACAGGTACCTAGCCCATTTCCCTACACCATGGGATGTGGGGCAAGGAAGCACCACAGACTTGGCAACTGTTTCATTCCCATGAATCCAGGGTAAATCCACTCTAATTAAGAGGAGATACTCTGCACACAAGCCCCTAATTTACAATTGGTTCTGTTACAACTGTAGACTGCTCCTATGGTCTGAATTACAAACTCAATAGTTACCACAGTTCATCAATTTGTGAACTGTACTTAATGGCTATCATTCCTGCTAATTGTACTATGGTAGCTAGAATGTCATATCTGTTATAATTAGTTGTTCTCCCCTGGGTATCAATATTGGGAAGCTGTGGAGTAATAACCTCTCCATAGCCCTAAACCAAAAGATTGGAAACTGAGTCAAACAGAAACCAGTATTGCACTCTCAATTACTTGGAAAGGTAGGATCTTGGGACAGACAGAAACAAAGAATCTCCTATACAGATAAAATATCTCTGAAGAACAGACTTTTCCAGAGAGGCCTTGATACTAGTGATATTGCTACTTACCACCAAAACTCACAAGGATCATCGTAGAAAACAAATAAAAAAATTTTGAGCCACAAAATGTCAAGATGAAGAAGCAAAATGCAGTCTCATACCTCCAGCCCATCCAGAAAAGTCCAGTAGGCAAAGATACAGAAGAACTAGGAAACCACACACATGAAATTTCAGAAATGACAGCAACAGAAGTAAAGAATCAGCTCTATGCGGCTGTTGAGGAAATCAGATCAGAAATAATGTCTCAGATTAAAAAAAGGAACCAAATCACATCACTCATGGGGCTGATGCAAGAGGATCACTGGGAGTTTGAGATCAACCAGGGCTACAAAAAGTTGAAGATCAGCCCAACTGATCTTCAAGACCCTGTCTCAAAAAGACAAAAAAAAAAAAAAAAAAAGAAAGAAACCACAACCATAATGAAAGAATTGCTGAGCATGTCTAAAAAAACCCCACAGATTAAAAAAAAAAGAGGTTCACAGGAAAGCAATGGAAACCTTGAATAAACAACATAGGATAGAAATAGAATGCATGAAACATGCAGATATTCAGGAAATTAAAAATTCTATTGAAAACTAGAAAAACCACTAGAGCAAAACTAAAGATAGACTTTGAAACTCTCAAGACAGAATTGCACCTAGTGATAGGAAAAGAAAGATATCTTAAAACTAATGAGCCAGATGTGATGGTGCATGCCTGTAATTCCAGCATTCCAGAGGCCAAGGCAGGAAGATCATCTTGGGCTACAAAGTGAGATCAATACCAGACTGAAGTACATAACAAGACCAGACTGAAGTACATAACAAAAGAAAAAAAGAGGGAAGTAAAAAAGTAAGGAACCAGGAAATAATAATTGAATATCTATAAGATAATGCAAATAAAAACAATATAAGAATGATAGGTGTCAATGAAAAAGCAGGAGTCAACACAAATGACAAAAAAGAAAAAACTATTTGCAGAAGTAATAGCAGAAAATTTCTCAAACATGAGAACAGAATCTGACATACAGATAACTGAGACATAGAGAACTCTCCCAACAGCCATAACCAAAATAAATCTACACCATGACATACAATAATCAAGATCCCAGAGATTCAGCACAAAACAGATTAAAAGCTGTTAGAGAAAATAGACCATCTATAAAAGAAAGCCCATTAGAATCATGGCCAACTTCTCAACTCAAACCCTCAAGTCCAGAAGAGCATGAAGTATTTCAAGCCCTAAAAGTAAACGACTTTGAACCCTGTCTGATGTACTATATATAAAACTATCTTTCAAAATTAATGGAGAAATTATATTTCCATGACAAAGAACAACTGAAGAAATTCATGACCACCAAACCAACCATACAAAGATACTGAAAGATACTTGTTGAAAGAGATAAAAATGACAATTCAAAAACTGAAAGAAACCACCAAGCAGGGCAAGCAACTGAACAGGAGAAAAGTAGGGAACCAACAACATGAAGATAAGACAACAAAGACAAGCAAATATGTATCAGTTATAACCACTAATGTAAATGGCCTTATTTCAACCAATCAAAAGTAACAGCCTGGCAGAGTGGACCAAGAAACAAAATCAAACAATATGCTGCATTAAAAAAAAAACACATTTAACACAAAAGGAAATTCACAGCCAAAGTCAAAGGATGGAAAACAATACTCCATGTAACAAGAACCCAGAAAAAAGCAAGGGTAGCTATTCTATTTGCAGACAATGTGAAATTCAAACCAAGAATGATCACAAGAGATAAAGATCGCTACATACTTGTTAGGGGAAAAATTCAAGAAGAAGATATGGCAATCATAAATATATAAGCACCAAACACAGGAGCACCCAACTATGTAAGACAAATATTAACAGACATGAAAAATCAGATAAGCAATAACACAGTTGTAACAGGGGACCTTAATACTCTACTGTCACAAAGAAATAGATCAACTAGACAAAAAAAGCAGCAAGAAAATAACAAGAGTGTTCCACCCAACATCACAATACACATTCTTCTCAGCTACACAAGGGACATTCTCTAAAATAGACCATACACTATCCCATAGAACATACTTAAGTAAATGCAAAGGAGTTAAATTATCTCGTGCATATTATCTAACCAGTGCATGAAATTGGAAATTAATGACAAAAGAAACCACAGAAACTCCATAAACACATAGAAATTAAACAACACGCTCCTTATCAACCAGTGAGTCACAGAATTACACAAGAAATTAAACGATATCTACAATCAAACAAAAATGCAAATATGACTTACAGGAACCTGTAGGATGCAAAGAAAAGTCCTCAGAGGGACACTGATAGCAATGAATTTTTGCAAATACAGAACAAACACAAAGAACCTAATGCAGCACCTCAAGTCACTAGAAA